ATAGAGTCACATTCTGGGTTTTCATCGATTTGTCCTTAGCACTTTCACTATAGAAACTCTCTTATGTTTAAGGTTATTTATCCAGATAAATTCCGTAGCTCTCAATATATTTACTATATAAGGGGAAGCTCCGCCGCCAAAGAAAATTCATTTGTCTCGAATAGTGTATGGCATTTTACTGTCTTGAATAAAGAAGTTTTGGTGTTTTCCCAAAGTATTTTGTCTATGATTTGCAGCGTGTCAGTGAATACTTGGGAGAAATACAATGGTCCCTCTCAATATGGGGTAGCCCTTCACGGTTTTGCAAGATCTTATCCAATTGGTTTACTAGCTATTTCTTTAATAAAAGAAAACAATAGAATTTTTAAAAGACCGAGGAAACCATGAGCATTGTTTTATTCCTCCAATCACAAGAAACCTTACAAACTCGTAAAGGCCACAAGTCAATGTCACCCGATGTGCATGCGCAATATCGTTCTCGTCAATTATACATAGTGTGAATATATATGTTATTTACCGGCTGGGAGGTCCGTATACGAAAACACTACCCGAGGTCTTGACAGTACGGAACGAGCGCAGCGAGGTCCGTACATAAAAGACCGAAGTATCTTTGTATTTTATGCAACTTTGCTCGCAGCCTAGCTGCAGGATACAGTCGGACCGGGCAGATCGTGAAAAAACCGGACCGCTCTCTAGCCAATCACAGCGCGCGAATGACTAAGATACCGGAGCGAAAAAAAATAAAGTAGGGTCTTCATAGTTGGATTAATAGAAGACTTGTATTAGGACATCCTGGAGCAATCTTTAAGACAACTGGTGCTCAAAGTACGAAGAAAATAACGTAAGTTTTACTCTCTTATAAATATGACTGTTTTGACACAGTTTCGCGGTGCAGTTTTACTCACTTTGTCTCGTTAATTTGGGTTTTTGAGTCTTTGACTTTGAGACTTTGTCTCTTTTGTTTTAAAGTCTTTGAATTTGAGTACTTGTCTTGTTGATTTGTCACATCATATTTCAATAATCGTCGTCAATTATCAGAGGATCAATCATCAGTACAATTTGTTATCCACCTCACTAAAAAAGCGTTGTCGTTTTCAAAAAGTTGTTTAATTACTTTTACTTTCAATTTCTATTTCACTTTTCTCAGACACTTTCATTAAAGTTGGAAACATAACTCGGTTTTTTGCCATCTTGTATTGTAAACCTACCTTTGTTGAGAGCGTCTTCAATGCTTGTGCAATAACATTTTCTCAAAATCGGCTGAAAGAAATACCCTGGTTTAAGGGATATCATTCGTTTATGTCCCACAGTTAAACGCAGTAATAAGCTACTTTTGGTGCCATCGAAACAACTAGCAGTGTATCTCCCCTTTCATAAAACTCATGGCAGGAAAAATCCGGACATACGAGCCCGCGATACCAGCAGTATTTCGCATCAAGCAAAGAAACATGGCTGTTAAATTTTACAAAGAAATGTACGGCTCAAGAAAATCATTAGAGAATAACATTTGGTCTGTTTTACCTGGAACGTTTTCCAAGATGAAATTCTAGAGGGAAACTATTCTTGATTCCACTGTAGGAAAGCCAAATAAACACGAAATTTTTAAGAGCGTCCTTTTGACAGCAAACGTCTTTTCGTCGTCTCCTTTGAGGAAACCATGAGCATTGTTTTATTCCTCCAATCACAAGAAACCTTACAAACTCTTAAAGGATAC